TTAAGGTCATAGGCACTTAGAGTTTCGAGGAAGAGCCTGGTATTTGGCGAAACATTATTAACATGAATGTTGAAATCCCCAGCAATTAACAAACTAGAGTTCTTAAAAAGAAGGTAGTCTAAGAGACAAGAGAAATCATCTATAAATTGCTTGAGAGAGGATGAGGCACTCGGGGGCCTATAGATAACACACACATCCATAGATATAGAATTATGTACAATGCTGATTTCAGTCATTTCAAATGTACTAATATTAAGTGAGGAAGGAACAACTTTAACATCCAAGTTACTACGATAAAGGAGTGCAACTCCACCACCTCTTTTATGTAGTCTTGGTGTATGACAAAACCTGTAACCACCTGGATTTAGGGCTGCTATCACAGCATCATCATCTGGATGCAACCATGTCTCACATATGACGCGTTTCAGACAAAGGTTTGTCTAAACCTTGGTCTGAAACGCATCGAAACGCGTCATAATTATGAAGCACATAAACCTAGATTTGTCGACAAACCTCCTTTGTAAATTCGGGCCAAAACCTTCATGGGTGCGATGTGACCTGTGTGGACGTTGGCTCCACCTATTTTGTGTTTTGCTCAAAAAACTATCCACAAAAAAAGACTATGTATGCCCCTTTTGTGAAGCGACCTATCAATATAAATGTTCACATATCAGTCCCTTTTTGGATTGCCCTCCTCCCACTGGCGTACCTATGGGGGGCAGGGGGGGCAGAGTGCCCCCCCCCCTGACGGGCTCCAGGGGAAAAAAGAAAAAGGGGAAAGAAAAGAAAAGAAAGAGAAAGGAAAGGAAAAGAAAAAAGGAAAAGGAAAGAAAAACGGAAAGAAAGAGAAAAAAGGAAAAAAAAGGAAAGAAAAAAGGAAGAAAAAGAGAAAAGAAGAAAAAGGAAAAGAAAAGGAAAGGAATAAAAATGGGAAAAAAAATAAAGAACATGGCCGTAAGCACCAGGGGGGGGGGGCAGTTGACCCCAGATATTTTGAAATCGTACAGTTTTTTTCCTGAAAATGTAGTGTAGGCCTATACCAAATCCTTCAATTCTACTTTTGAAAATGCAAAAGTACCCTCATGACCAGTTCGGTCGCTCGAACTCCCTTCACTCCTTTTGCTTTTGAGATTCTTCGAAAATTTTTAACGCATCTTTCCCCCTTCCCCCATCAGAAAAATATTCCGCATACGGCCCTGAAAAATTAAAACAAATGAAAATAGGAAAATATAAGTGATATAACAAATTTGAAACTCTTCGCTGGCGCGAACTGCTTGCTAGCCTATTTTGTATTAAATGTTTTCACTTCCTCGTCCCCTGAAAAAAGAAAAGGATTAGTATTGCCTAGAATACAATTGTGCCTGCCCCGACGGGCCCCGACCTGCAACCATGGCAACAATAACACACAATTATGTACCAAATGTTACTAAAAGAGACTAATTCATTTTTCTCGCTCGCTACACTCGCTCGCGAATAAAATGAATAGACATTGCTTTGGAAACAATTGTGCCCACCCTTGACCTGCAACAATATCATTAAAAATGGAAGAGTTTTTTCGCCCTCTCGCCAAAAAGGAATTGAATCGCGTTAAACGCGATTGCGTCCATCCTGACCTGCACCAATAAAAACAAGTTTATTTATTAATTTCTATTAAAAGAGAATTTATTTTTTTCGCTTGCTCGCTATGCTCGCTCGCCAAAATGGAATTGACACCGCTAACGTGCCCGCCCCAACCTGCAACAACCAGTTAATAATTATGTACGAAACGTTATTCAAAGAAGTTTTGGTGTGCTCGTGCTCGCCAAAACGGAATTAACATCACCTTAGACATGATTGTGTAAGCCCTGCCCTGCAACAAAAAAATGTGAAATTTATGAACCAATTATCATTACAAAAATTTTGCTCGCTCGCTACGCTCGCTCGCCAAAATAGAAATAACACCGCTTTTAATAATCACGTCCCTGACATGGAACAATTAAACCAAGTTTATATACCATATTTTCCCTATAAAAAGAAGTGAGTTTTTTTTGCTCGCTCGCTACGCTCGCTCGCCAAAATAGAATTAACACCGCTTTTAATAATCACGTCCCTGACATGGAACAATGAACCCAAGTTTTATGTACCATATTTTCCCTATAAAAGAAAAGTGATTTTTTTTTCGCTCGCTACGCTCGCTAGCTCGTGGAATTATGTGCCCACCACTAACCTGCTACAATATCATTAAAAAGAGAAATGTAGGGGGTTGCCTGCCCGCCAAAATGGGATTGACATTGCCTTAAACACGATTGTGCCCGCCCCCTACCTGCAACAATGAAACAAATTTTATATAGCAATTCATTGAGAGAAAGATGTATTTTCGCTCGCTAGCTAAAATGGGTATAAAATCACCCTAAACACAATATTGTTCCCGCGCCCTGCATGGGACAATTGAACCAAGTTTAAGTGGCAATTATTAAAAAAGAAGTGATTTTTTTCTTGCTCGGTACATTAGTTTGCAAAAAAATGAAATTAACGTCGCTAACAAGTGAATGTTCCCACCCCCAACTTGCAACAATACCAGTTTATATACCAAACGTTACTTAAAGATTTTTTTTTGCTCGCTCGCTCGCTCGCCAGAAGTGAAAATTAGCATCGCCTTTTTTGTTTGTTTCGGTCGCTTGCCCCTCTGAAGGAGTACTCCAGGTACGCCACTGCTTTCCCCCCCCCCCCAAGAAAAAATATTATCACATTGATACATGTGTGCACAATATGATGTGTCAACCTTACGAAAGTGGTGTTTTCATAATGATTATTGAACTCCTTTAAATTTATATTTATATGGAAGACTTAAGAAGACAACTGTTTACAGTCCAGAGCATGCCGTGTAGACTAAAATGTGCAATGTTGTTCAATTTCTGAATTCTTTGTTTAAAAAACTTGCTTGCTGTATACATATACACTATACATAGTGTATACATTTTTTTTATACATTTCAAATGTCTAGTCCGGTTAAAAATAGCACGTAATGATTTCATTATTTGACACGTACTTCACATTGATTTATCTTATCGATAAGCGAAACGATTTGCTTTAGTATCATATAACAAATGTAACAGTAATGACAAGTATGGTTTTCCTGAAAATTGCATTATACAATGTATATTCATCGTTATGGAAAATGTTGTATAATATACAACAATGGGCATTCACATTTTCCAGACCAATGATTTAATTACGTTTAATATTGAAGCTGTTGCCCTTTGTGACTTGAAATAATAAGTAGCCTTGAAAGTGTCGCAATAAATCATGAGCTTGAAGTTTATTGGGGTAGGTTTGTTTAATACTGTATAGCCTTTACTCTGTTTTTAATGAGATATATCTCCAATCAAATCAAATTGAGTGATGTTATCGTACAACTTAACAATATCAAAATCTGTTCTCCTAAATAAGCCTGGGAAACTTGAAAATTGCATTACAATGTGAATTCATTGTCAGTGAAAATGTAAAACAATACACAACAATGGGCAAATAATTGTTTCCAGACCAATGATTTAAGTAAGAAGAACTGATATTGAAACTGTTGCCGTTGTATATACATCAGGCGTGGATCCAGGATTTCTTAGGGGGGGGGGGGCAAAATTTGAAATTGTGCGAGCCAAATATTGGTTCGTAATGGTGACCAGCAGTGACGTAATTGGGGGATGGGTGGGTGCAGGGAGGGGCGAGTTTCCCCCTCCCTCCTCCGCGAAACGCGGAAGCTTTGACATTTCAATAAATTATTAGAGAAAGAAGACGATTTGTTGTACCGTTCCCAAAAAATAATCCTCGTCTGAATTTAGTTTCCCCCTCCCGCGCTAAGCGGAAGCTTACGTTTCATTAAATCATTAGAGAGAGAAGACGATTCGTTGTGTCGTTATCGACTCTTAATCTTTGTCTGAATTTCATTTTTTTTTCTTTGTCTCCTCCCTTTTTTTCCTACGTTCTCTTCCTTCCTTTTGCCCCCCCCCCCCCGATCCTCAAGTTGTTGGCGGGAAAATTGCAAATGATATCCCCCTTTTTTTCTTTTCTTCTTCCTCTTTTTTTCCTTCCCTGTATCTCCTCTTTTCCTTTTTTCTTTCCCTTTCCTTCCTTCTCTTTTATTTTTTGATTGGGGGGGGGGGGGGGGGGCAACAGCCTGGGAGGCAAGTCCTTTTGCCGCCCCCCCGATCTACTTCTTCCCTCTTTTCTTTTCTTCTTCCTCTTCTTTTTTTCTCTTTTTCTCCTCTTTCCCTTTCCTTCTTTCCTTCTCTCTCTCTCTCTCCTTTTTCTGTTTTTTTTTGCGGGGGGGGGGGGGGCAAGGCCCGCTCGCCCCCCCCCCCCCCGCCTGGATCCGCGCCTGGCTTGAGGAGCCTGAGTAACTGGAGGAAGAAGACTGTATGGAGGAGGATGATATTATACAGAGGAGGAAGAGGGGGAGGGTGCGCGGCAGGAAACGAAGAGGATTGAGGGGGAGGAATTAAAGTGATGGAGATGAAAAGCAGGAAGATTGGATAAAAAGAGAAGAGGAAGACAGAGGGAGGAAGAGGTGGATGGAGAAAGAAGGTGGTCGATTTAAAAGAGCTGGTAGAATAAGGGAAGAAGTGGAGACATATTATTGTAAAGCTATGCGTGAAGCATTTTAACATGGAGATATATCTCTTCTTATATCTCCATGATTTAAAAAAGAAGAGAGCATGACGATTTAGTTATTAGGAGGGGGTGGAGCGCATAGAATCACCCCCTTCCCATGTATAGTCTTGCCCCCAGCCTATTGCTAGCTATCTTTTCACCAACAACAACATCCTAAAAATTCTCCCTGTTCATGTCATTTTCTATTCTCCCATCTACTGAAATAATAGTTGGTCTATCATTTAAATTAACAATTTGTCCCTCTACTAAATCAATCCTACAGATTTAAATTTGTATTTTGTGTACATAATTTATTTTGACCTCCAAATAATAACGGTACAAAGTAACTCCTTGAAGTATAGCTAACTATAGCTGCGATATTATCACTAAACGTACGTGGCGAAGTCTGGTTTGTCGTGGTAAAATCCCTTGCTGTGTGCCGTGTCGTGATGTTAAAATTCATTTAGAACGACATTCTTATTATTTTGTAAGTACTCCTTTCTTAAAACACACGTTCAGCTTTTGAAAATCATCGAAAGAAATTATTTAGACGGTTAAACTAAGCGGTCTTTTTTCACATTTGAAAGGTGTAAACACCACCTCCCATTGTACATAGCGAGCGTTACCCGCGGACCACCGGGGCGGTTCCGGGCGTAGCGCTTGCGCTTGGTGGTGTAGGTCGGTAAATGAGCGGCTAGCTTACTGAGTGAGAAGGATATTAAAGAAGAGAAAGAACTGAGTAAGAAGAGAGCTTGGGTATCTTTAAGCTTTTATCTTAATATTAGAACGAGGTACTCTTTGTATTTGTTCATGGTTAATCATGGAGAAAACTTGTGTGGCACATATAGACCCTAAACTAGATAAAGTTGTATTTTCTTGAAGTCTTTCACTCTTCCTTTGTCATTTTGTGTTTTGATCTTGAACTCGGTGTAAGTTTGGTTTGAATCTGAGACAATTTATTTCTCTTATTACTAGAGCTCAAGATTATCTTTAGAAGAAAACTTTTACAAAAAGAAGGGTTTTTAAAAAAAAGAATCTAATTCTTTTTAGGAGTATATATTTCATCAACGTTGGTCTGCAAATAATTGAAAGATTGGATAGGAATAGCATTTTTACCTTTACTTCCTTCTCTGCAGGAGTTTTAACCTGAAGATGGCAGCTAGCAAACCACCTGGCTTTTCGAGAAAAGAACCATGAGTGCCTTGACACTCCGGCATTATCAACAGCACCTTTAGCTGTGCTGGAAGACACTTCCTTTGTCAAGACAGTGCTCAAGCCCAAGAGCTGACGACTTCTTGGGGGTGTCCTGAAGAATGTGATTGGCCTAAGGAGTCTATCATACTGAGTATGGTGAAGGGTTTGGACTGGTTCAGGAACAAGTGGATGCTGCTGAAAGAGATCATGGCTCGCAACCCGGAACTCCTGAGTCTCTTCTTCGCCCTTGTTCTCTCTGGTATCGTCTCCCACTTGGACAATCCCAAAGGGTAGGTTGCTCCTTTCTAGAAACACGACTTAGGAATGGTTTAATGGCAGCCATTGATAGTGTTCTAAAAACATAAAAGATATAAAAATGTGCCAATCTCTTGCCTCATTGAAACGTAAATACAAGCAACATCTAATGAAGGAATTTCCATCTTATGTTTAATTTCGCCTGTACATACTTGTTTATTTAATACCCACTCTTTCTTTTCTCTTTACTTAGTATAATCATCTGCAGCCATTAGAGCCCTGCATTTGAAAGGCTAATGGCCTCTGATGGCTCCTCCATATTCTTTGTATTGTTTATATATTTGCTTATATGTATAATGTATTGTTGAATGTATTGTTTACGAGAATTGGAAATAATTGAAATGAAATAAAATGAAAAAATGAAATGAAATGACCATTCACTGAATGAAATCATCTTCATTAAAGAACCTGTTTACAGAATGTAGTAAGTTCATTTTCTGTTAGTCCCCAATGAAGCCAATTTCAGGTAACTCTATTGTATGCTGTTTATCATTTTATCCATGAGATCATATTGGCCTGCAATGATTTTGTCCTAGACCTTCTTGATAGATTTGGCTATATTTCACCAGAAACTGTGTTTACAATTTTTTTTCCTTAGCTCAAAGGTTAAGTGTTACTTCATACCTTTTCAAAGGTCAATTCTAGTCCTAAAGTTGACTTTCTAATGATCAATATTGCAAGGATCCACAAATTCCATATCCATTTTGTTTTGCCATCGTGAAACAGGAGCAAGGCAACACCCTATGTCATACCCATCCCTCCTAAGATATTTGACCATGAATCCCCCGTCATTGAGTTCACCACTGGAGACATGACGGCAGTCCGGAATGTGATAGCATCAACCGGAGCCGAAGTGTGGATCATCATGTATTATGCACACTGGGACGCCTACTCGCTGGAGACGGCCAAGGAGTTTGAAAGGACCGCCGAGAAGATGTCCGATCAGGTTAGTCTCACAAGGATGTACATGTAGGTCTTTGTATACAGTCAAACCTGTCTACAGCGACCGCCCAAGGGAAACACAAAAAGTGGTCTTTGTAGACAGGTTCCTTTAGTGCATGTTTCAATGAGAAACCATTTTCAAGGGAAACAAAAAATGTGCTTGTTGTAGACAGGTGGTCACTAAAGCAGGTTTGACTGTATATGTAGGTCTTTGTATACACCCTAACCTGTCTTGGCAGCCACATCTATATAAAGGCCACCCGTCTATAGTGGTCAGCTACATTTATACCTTCCTCTAGAAGGAACTTCCGTTGAAGAACCTGTCAAGAAAAGGTCACCTGTCTACAGTGGCCACTTTCTCTGTTTCTTTTGGGTGGCCTCAAGAGGCAGGTGTGACTGTACTTTAGAAGAGGGTAGTTCTGGTAATAAAATCATGTTGGAATGACATTTGATGTGCATTGTTTGTTTGATTAATGTGTATTTAAAAGGCCATGTGAAAATGATTTTGAAATTTAGAACTTTAATAAATTTGTTAATCTTTTACTCTATAAAATTGACACAACTAAACGTTATTGTGTCTCGAGCAACTACAGTGACTCTGGGTTGCACAGGCAAATGGCTATATAATGTATCATGAACATACAGCATTAATGAATACCTTGGTATTCTAAGCTCTCTCACACAGGAGAAGTCATAGGTCGCCGGGTAAAAAAACAAAACAAACTGCGTTATAGACTTTTTAGAAATCCCTCAATTCCTTGGAAATTTATCCATGACATATCAGGAAACAAAATCTTGCCAAATATGACCGAAATCCTCATTGAAATTCTGTAAAACATGACATATGTAAATCATAAATGAACCATGTAGCACAAATCAGTTTAAAATGTAACTGGGCATCACATAGCTAAAGCTAGGGTAATAATTTCCAAAAGCTCTTTGGAAGCGCATAGGGTCATTATAATGTGATATGCGCTATACAAGAACTGAATATTATTATTATTGTCAGCTATTAAGAATTGTTTTCTATTCATCCTCTTCCTGCAGGTGCTGTTCATGGCAGTGAACTGCTGGTACCCCTACGGAGCCTGCAGGCACAAGGTGACCGTCCCTTACTTCCCTATCCTCTTCACCCATCGAGACAGCCGGGAGGGCATCCAGTACACCGGACTCCAGAGGGCGACGGAGATGGTCGACCACCTGAAGAGGGTCTGCTCCCCCTTGAAGGTGGTCCAGGACCTGGAGTCTTTGAGGCTGCTCAGAGCACAGCATGATGTGAGTGACATGGGAGGATTTGTCTGGGCCCTGTTTCATAAAACTTGATACCAATAACAAGTTACAAACTACTGTTATAAGCTACTGATATCAAGGCATCTGATTGGCTGAGAGAAAATTTATCATAGAAATTAAGCATTTGTTATAGATTAAAAAATTTATGGAATGGGCCCCTGGTTCTGGAAAGTATTTGTTGTTATATAGTTGTGATAGATAGTAGACTACACTACAACAACAAATCTATTACTACTACTTCTACTACTACTACAAAGACTTCTACTTCTACTTCTACAAAGACTTCTACTACTACTAATGATGATGAAAATAATGATGATGATAATGATGTTGATGATAATGCTAATGATGCACCATTTACACCTGGGCGGAGAGTGGTAAATGTGGATTGACGTGTTGCCAAAGGATGTTAGTGCTTTGTTAGTGTTGAGAGTCAATGAGTTAATGAGCCACACATCCAGAGGCATATCACAACGACTTAGACTGTTATACCCAGATAACCTCACTTGAAAACTTCTACCTAGGAACCTTAAACTTGATGACAATCCCAAACAATGATCGCCCCTAATAACATACCTGTATTAACTAACTGACTGACTACTACCACAGCGGTCAGTATACTATGAGGATGTTATAGTGTAATAATTGCAAGTAAATAATAGCACAAGCAATAATGCACACTAACCACATTAATTATATGTTGAAAAGAACATTATGCCCATCAGTTAAGAATAGCACTTTCATTCATGCATGCTGGTAATATTATTTTCGATCCTCACAAACAGTTTTCCTCTCTGATTCTTTCAGGCTGTAGCACTTGCCTATTTCAGCTTCGAGGGCACACTTGCACCCCAGGGCCTAGCCTCGTACCAGTGGGCTGCTATGCAGCACCTAGAAAAAGACCCTGTCCAACCCACACCCTTTGCCATCATAACAAACAAACAGCTGGCACGCACTCTAGGCCTCACCAATTCCATGAGCATCACTCTGCTCAGAAACTTCAATGTATCTTTGGTAAGTCGGTTGGAATGTCATGATATTGTAACGTACAGTCAAACCTGTCTAAAGCGACCACCCAAGGGAAACACAAAAAGTAGTCTTTGTAGACAGGTTTCTTTAGTACATGTTTCAATGTGAAACCATTTTCAAGGGAATCAAAAATGTGGTCCTTGTAGACAGGTGGTCACTAAAGCAGGTTTGACTGTATTACAATGAGACCTGCTCTAGCAGTTGCGTGTATAAAAGGGCACATGTCTACAGGTTTGTTCACATATGTCGCATTAACACTCCATTATTTATGATATCTCCTGTACAATTATGGAGAAATGAAAGCTGAGAAATGAAGAAAAAAAAGCCACATCGACCATGCTCATACTATGCGCTTCTATACTTTTGCCAAGGCGAGTTATAATGCCAGGGAATATTTTTTCAGCAAGTTATTGTAAATTTCTCAGTATTTTGCAGGTCTGAATAACCAAAGTACTGCATGCATAACACTTTGCTCCTAGAAGCCAATTTCACTCGAAGTTGTATTATACCAGACCTCAGGAATAACTACAGTCAAACCTGCTTTAGTGACCACCTGTATAGAAAGACCACCTGTCTACAAAGAACTCATTTTTTGTTTCCCTTGAAAATGGTTTCTCATTGAAACATGTACTAAAGGAACCTGTACATAAAGACCAATTTTCTTGCCATCCTAGGGTAGTCTTTAAAGACAGGTCTCGATGTATAATGTAATGTCACTAAATTAATTCATCTACTCACTCTATGCGTACACATGCACACGATATGGGTACCACCTCAATTCCTTTTTGAGTACCGGTACTTTTGCCATATGGCTGTTATTAGGCCATATGATCAATATGATTAATGGATTTATATTACAGTCACTGATTAACAAGGAGAGTCTTTTAAACAGGTTTAGCAAATATGTTAGCCAATGTATCTGGATTAGGTATTCATCCTCAGTTACCTAGTCCCTTAGATAAGAAAAAAGACTCTGAGTTCCAGAGAGCTTACCATATTCTTGCTTTTAGCTCAGGGAAAGCCAAACAGTGTGTCAATATTATATTTTGGTTTAGCAGTTTAGATTAATCTAGCAGTGTTCAAAGTTTTCCAAATGTCTAAATGAATCAGCTTTTCCTCCTCAAGTTGTCATCAATTATTTGTATTTTCCACACTTCCATAGTTTAAAAAGACAAAAGTTTATATCAAATGAACCAGTGTAAACAAAACTTTTAAAATTCTACAAGGAGTTACCAATTTGTATGGGAAAAGATTGATTATAATTTTCATTCTGAGTCGCCAATTTAGAGACTTTTTAATGATTAACTTCAATTAAAGCGCTCTTATTGATGAAGGACGCAATGTGTTGCAACAGAAACGGACTGGAAATGCACTTTCTAATCATGAACAACATAAAGTCAGAGCATTCTGGAAGAAAAGATGAAAATAAATTGGAACTCAAAGTTGATCTTTATAGATCTAATGAGTTCTAGTCCATTGTACTTATCATCACATGAAATCCAAACTTCTATAGCCTTTGAAGTATTGAATAATTCTGCACACTTTCATTTCAATATTGCTTTGGTTCTGTGTTGCTCTATCTACTTTTCCAGTATTACCCTTCCTCTAGAGAGTTCAAAGCAAAGCCTATCGTTGAGTTTGTGACTACTCATAGAGAATCGGTGAGTATGAATCAGCCAAGATGATATCTATTGTTATAGTATTCTCTTCATTTTTCAACAGGGATAGTATTCTTAAAGCGCTAATCACCATATCAGATGGTATAGAAAATATAAATTCATTACGGCCCATGAACATATAGGACTGCATAAAAATGGACAGTCGCCCATGTACAGTTTTCATAAGGTGCCAAGACACCTTCCCTCAGATATCTGTGATTTTCATTGATAAAAGCAGGGATGCCATTTTTCAGGCAATAGCCTGAATTCAGGCCCTGGCGAGTTATTTTCAGACCATAGTTTAGGCTTTTTTTTAAAGAAATAGCTCATTCTAGGTGATTTTCAGGCCCTCTGATCAATTCTAACTGGCATCCCTGTAAAACGACACTAGTAATTCTATGCTGCTATGACTTTGTTTATATTCAACTAAACTGTTGAAAAAGGAATGTAAATTCTATAGAATGTGAAACCTATAGAGTGCTGGATGCACATGATTTAAGAGTTCTGCAGGCAATGAGGAAGACAGTTTTAAGTGATGGCTTCAATCTGGCATTCCTTTGACAAATGTATACAAAGCACTTCAGAAATTGTCAACGGAACATCAAAATATCTTGCACATTTATCAGTTGAGAAATTTTGAGACCATATTCGATATATTGCCTTTCCATCTCCCGTCAACCAGCAGTACAAATTACTATCTTTATCAAATTTTTCCTCAATGTCTTGATGTCATTTTGCAGATGGTGCAGTGGATCGCCCTCCTGGTCTGAAGAGTACCATCTTGTCTTCCCACATCTTCACCAGACCCACCATCATCCTATTCACCCCGCACCGGCACGATCAAGTGTTTGCCAATTACTTTATGATGGTAAGGATGAAAGAGGCTACTCATTAGGTGCCCGCAAGAGGGCTGTAAGAGATATGTGTTGTCAATGACAGTAATGGCCTTCTTGCAGGCAGCCAACAAACTGCAGAATACCCCACCTTGCAGTAACTTTAACCCTAATGTAGACCCTATTTAACCATGTTCCGAAGTCGTAACTTAACATTATCCCTAACCCTCATCACGCAGCCAACAAACTGCAGAATACCCCCATTTTGCAAGTAACTTGAACCCTAATGCTGAGCCTATTTTAAAAAAAGACCTGTTCCTAAGGCATAACTTAACCTTACCTTATCCCTAACCCTAATACTAATCTTAATCGTAACCCTAATTATAGCCCTAGTCCTACCCTTACCCCGACTCTCTTTCTATCCTATCCCTACCCCCAATGCCTCAGTCACACCTTTGTGTATTTTGCTTGCGTATTGCTGCGTATTTATGGCAAGCTGTTTTAACATTTATTCCTATTTCATGATATCAAGAAATGAATTCTTGATATCAAAAATTCAAATTCTTGTATCAAAATTACCATTGCTTTACTACAGAAAATCATTTCTTGATATTAAGAATTCATTTCTTGATATCAAGCAATTGGAATAAATTTTAAAACGACTTGCCATACATACGCAGCTATACACAAGCCAATTACGCAAAGGTGTGACTGAGGCATAAGAGGTAGGGCAGTAGAGTATATTTATGATGCAGCTGTGGTATATAAAACCAATCATATCATTATTATCAGAAGGTGAGGAATGATGCATTACTTTGTTCTTGTCCCATACAGTTACGTGAAGCTACCTTGGAGTACTACAACTGTGCCAACAACTCCTACATCCTCACACTGCAGAAGGCCATCAGGGAGGAGCGCAAAAAATATGCCTCTCAATCTTCAGACCCTGGTTCTTCTCGTGTAACCACACCCAATGAAGAGTGCATGGATGATGTTTCATCTAGAGAAAGCGACTGTTGTCAAACCCTCGCCTCCAGAGGGCGTATCGAGTCCATCTCGCGAGCCAGGGGTAACGTTTGTGAGATCTGCGAGACGTTCAGCCAGCCTCTTCAGCCGTCCAGCGACCCCTGTACCTATCTGACGTTAAGCTCGGGCTCGTCGTTGCTTATGGACGTCACCAACGGCGTGACTGCTTCGAGCATGCGTGTCTGTACCTGAGCAACTTCTACAGCCCCTTCAGCCACTATCGCCTCTGCTGCCAGGATGTTGACCTCCTGACCTGTGACCTTTGCCCCACATTCCACTCTTCGGTGCACAAACATTCCCTTTCCAGTGGATCAATGCATTCTCACGGCACCAGAACTTTTGAAAGTCACCTTGCTCCCGAGCATAAAGCGTGCGATTGCTCCAAAAAATATCAACGTCTTTCAGGGGATCCTCTCGATTCCTTCACCGTTGTTGACTCCCAAACTGCATCCTCCTCAGAAGATGATGATAAACAATCCTGTCACACAAAATCTTCCAGGACTACAGTATATAACAATCAGGAAAATGAATTTGATGCTACTTCAGAAAGTCTTCAGAAAAAATTTGAACATCTTGGATGCAGAACAAATAGAACGTTAGTTTTCCGTGCAATGAGGTCTGAATATTTTTGGCAGATGGCAGACCGGCTAGGAATTATACCGCAATCTCAACATAAAAATTCAAGTGTTGGGGTAGCCATCATAGATATACAGGTATGTTAGACTGTCCTATGAAATTGTTCTGATGAAGGTATATAACATGTGGTCTCCTATGTGCAAATGTGATCTATGATTTTCAGTTGATATCATACTGTATGATTTACAATGAGTTTATGTCAGCTTGATTAACTGGGCAAGCAACCAACCTACTGCATGATATACGATCATAGATTACGTAAGCCATTTTTGTCTCAAAGTGCATTTTATTGAACAGATTTCAAACTTGGCTTTGGTATACTATTCAGAACACATCCTCGGGTAATAATGTTGCTACCCTGCAAGCAGTAGACAGCAATTTGAATCCTGCTGTTTTTATTTTAATGTTCTGTCTTGTCAAGAGATGTTTATTTGTGTCAATCTTTAATAATAATAATAATGGTGTTCTTTATAGCGCACATGTCTTCACGTTGTGACGCTCCTGGCGCTGCCCGATTAGCACAGGAAGAACATTGAAGTTACACAAAATAATAAACATGATCATCAGAAGTGGATACAGGACTTTGCAAAAGGGGGGGGGGGGGGGGGGAAGGGGAGTACATTTCTCAATAAAATTTGGTATGCACGAAAGAACTAAAAAGGGGTTATTACATTTGTTGGTGCTAATTCACTCAAAAATCTCTCCGACACCCCTCAAAAATATTGAAAAGAAAAGGAGTATCAGATCTTCCATGTCCCTTTTGGGGTCTAAAGTTGGAAATGGGTGAAACAAGAACACAACTAAGGGGGAGGTGGCACATTTTCCTAATATTTACTTGAGGAAGTTGAGGTATACAACTTGGCCCAAATTCACAAAGGAGGTTTAACTTAACCCATGGTTTAAACCCTCATTTATATAACCCATGGTTTAAAAATTGGCACATAATAAGCTTACCTTGCCTTGGGCGCGTCTAATATTGGACCTCTGACTGTGTCACGCTTATTTTACGCAAATTTTAGACCATAGGTTATGTATTATGAAGATTAAAACCCTGGGTTAAATTTAAACCTCCTTTGTGAATTCGGGCCCTTTGGTTTGAAAAGGTGATGGTACTGACCTGTCCCCCCCCCCCCTGACTTGCAGTGAAAATTATGAATGATGTTATATCAACCGTATTACCTTCCTCCGCAGAGTGAAACCCACCATATCCTTCCATTGGATGAATCAGGATTGTCCCTGCAACTCCTGAAGCAGTTCATCGTCAACTACACCGAATCTCTCCTTTCCAGACACAGACATTCTACCTCCCCGTCCAGTACTTCAACATCCAACTCAAGGTGCACCAAGGCATCAGACAGTATATGCATCACAGAGGTTGCAGACGATACGTATGAAGATATGGTACTAAACACTGCCAAGGTAATAATGGATGTATCCCTTGTGTTTTTATTTATGTTTCTGTTGTTTTTATGGGTGGGCAATTGCTTATGTGGTTTGTCGGTCAAAGTCAAAATTGCACATGAAAGAAAATTGCTTGTAATCTGAAAGATCAAATCATGAATAAGAAAATTCTAAATCATACTCCATAATAGATCATCCAAAATATCAAATATTACATGTGATCTATGAAATACAACTGCATTGGAAATGTATGAAATTATTATTCTCTATCACTGTCTAAATTTTGAAATTATAGGGGTGTGTATTGAAATGTTGAAGTCTGATTGAGCCGTGAATATCGTTTTCCTGTTAGTGTCAACAGGCTTGAGTGTCATACCCTGGCTATTACGTGTCACCTGACTGTGGATCACAAGGTTCGCGGTTCGCGGTTCGCGGTTCAAGCCCCCCCCCCCCCCCCCCCCCCCCCCCCCCGCTGCACTAATGTCCTTGGCAAGACATTAATCTACATTTGTCAATAATTTCCAAAGCTCTTTGGAAGCGCATAGGGACGTTATATAATGTGATATGTGCTATTCAAGAACTTAATATTATTATTATTATGAGCTAACAAGTCCAATTGATGTGATTTTCACAGGATGTCTTGCTGCTGTACTACGCCCCATGGTGCGGAGCTTGCCTCAGAATCCAACACCTCTACCTTCAACTTGCCTCCCTCTTCAGGTCACATGACAGCCTTCGGATCGCCAGAATCAACGGTGACCTAAACGACCTTCACTGGCACCTCCTGACCCCAGCGTATCCCACAATCCTCTTCTTTCCCGGTCACAATAAAGCGAGGAGTGTCAGGTTTCCTGAAGAAAGTGCAATCACGCTTCCAAATCTGGTTGATTTTGTGTTGAAGCATAGTAGGTAGAAGCTATTTTAATATATGGGTGAACTGTTAGTTTTTTAAGCAATATACAGCATTCTTTTGAGGGCATTCTGTTATCTCTTTTTTTGATATCACTTATCCAGTAATTTAGAGTTTCAAATAGAGATAATCATTGAATCATTGATTTGTGATGCTGCATGTACAAAATTATATTAGGAAAAATAGAGATTCTTTTCCTTTGCTGAGACATATACTGATGAATATTTATTTTGGCTGGGAAATTATAAGGCTGACAAGCAATAAAGTTAGTCTTTATTATAATGACTTATTAAAAAATGTCCCTTGTAGCTTGTGATCAGTAATAAATTATCTATACTAAGATACACTGATCAAATATTATATATATTTTTTGTAAAGATACATGGCATCTTTCTGAATCCATATACCATGCCTTCTGATAGAGCTAAATAAGAATAATAATAATATAAACATTGTCATTACAAATCTTAAATGTTGAGATAAAGCTTTGCCAAATGCTGTTTTGTTGACCAGTCTGCACCTTTATTAATTGAAGACAAGTTGACGGAGTTAGAGTTTTTCTGTGACAGACTAATTGTCATTTCTTTTCCCCAAATGTAGCCCCTTTCCCCTAAATGTAACAGTTTCATCATATATCTGACAATATTGATATTTTATCGTAGCTGCTCAAATAAATTATGCCTTACCGGTATGCCAAACTTTGTGACCTAATAAAACTGCTGGATCTAAAGCATACATGTTCTGTTCTTCATGATATATTTATAAACAGGATATATTATTTTGTGACAGATTATCAAGTTAGCCACATTTTAGATACAGACATTGGCTAATTGTTGGGTATACTTAGACATATACACTTCTTTAAATTGAGATCTCACTACATGATAATTGTACTTCCTTTTAGCCTTAACCCATATTTTAATACAAATCTAGAATGATTTGTTTTTTGTATTCATAGCATCTCTGCAATGGTAATGGGAGAAGTTGAATCTTGTACATCAAACATTTCTTTGCATAGCATTGAATTGTGAAGGAAATGTGAATGTTTTGCAATCAAAGTTGTGAACAACTCCACACTTGCTTAAATACCAATGTGTGTCTTGCAAAAAAGGTGTTAGTGGAGGCTGTTGAAGGTTGTACACTTTCCTTAACAATGTGTACATCCCACATTACCCAACACTGTTCAATCTGTACACCATCTAAATGTTAACAGTAATAACTTATCAGTTCTATGTTTAATTCATCCTTTCACTACAAACTAAGAAATGTAGAAATTTGACAAAATTTGTGCTTGTGCCCTTCTGCCGGGCACACAATGATGTATGATTTAGTACTAAGACCAAACTGTATGTCATGTTGTTCGTTTGGAGCCAGAAGGGTATTAACTCCCATACTTTATCATAGAGTTTATGCCCATTTGGCTCCATACAGGCAAAATTATTTTTGTAATTAACCAGCCTTTTGAAAGAAATCAAGATCTGTATGTATATATTTGTATGTCTTGTTTAATTTTTGAATTTTCTCAAATGGACTTGGATATGATTCTTTTTGAATATATATATTTTTTCTTGCCAGCTTAATTCTAAATAAGTAAATGAATTGAGGCTAATGAAATTGTTTATTATCATGACATCATGCTCTTAGGCCATACAGATACATCAAGGAAACTACATTTTCTCAAATTTGGTGATACCGGAGTACCGGAGTGTTGGCTCAGTCAGTAGAACGTCCGCCTCACAACCGGGAGGTCGTGGGTTCGAACCCCGGCCGCGTCATACCAAAAGACGTTAAAAGATGGGAGTTGTTGCTACCTTGTTTGGCGTTCTACAATAAGGGATAGAGCAACGTCGATCTGGCGCTGCTCAGTGGCTGCCGGGCTCACGATCAATTGGGCAAAAAGAATTTCCGTTTCGGTTTAATAAAATTTGGAGTGGACTATTAGGCTATTATTATTATTATTATAATGGCCAACAGTTAGGCAACAAAAGAATACAGTTTGTTGTAATATTTTAAAGTGATTGCAGACTGGGAGCCTGCGCATAAGCTTTGTGGTTCACCGATAAGACTACCAAATTTACACTTGCTCTTCTTGTTTCTGTGGAGAGTCACCATTCCTCTCCTAACTTAAAAGTGTACATGAATTTCTTTTTTGAATATGGGGTCGGGCTAACTCGGCTAAAAGACAACTCGGCCCAGGTTTAGAGTTAGGGTTAAGGTTAGGGTTAGGGTAAAATGAAAACAACAAAAAATGACCGTTCTTGCAGATGGGCCGAGTTGTCTTTGTTATAAGCTAGTGAAATCCTTGCTTCTGATTGGTTATTAGCAGATTTGTCACTGATTTTTCTCATCTGTCATTGAAAATAGGCTTTGTGAAACGAGTCCCTGCAATTGCTCTGCATTCAGTATCATTCAATAACCAAATTCTGAACTTCAGCCCTGGACCAAATACTAGAAATATCACTAACCTCAAAATAAGTGCAACCATAACCCTAACGCTATATATTTTATGAAATAAAGACTGGAGCAATTGTCGCCAGAGCAAATATTGGGGAACCGATTTTAGAGATATTCATACCAAGATGTGCATAGAATTTCTTTAAATTTTGATTGATTATATTCCCCTGCTAGATGTTCATCAGTCTTAAACTTTCAGGCTACATTGTAATTTTTAAAAATAATATGGACCAATTCATCTCTATGACTGTCAAAATGTAAATTAAAACTGATGGGAAAGATTTGAAATGATTAATTAAGGTTTGTTTGACGTAGTTTAGTTCTTAGGAAGGTCCAAGACCTCATTGTCAGATATTTGTGTTGCTAGGGAACATCCTTAGGAAGTATTTGTTCTTGATCACATATATATATATATATATATATTTATATATTGTTGTCATTAAAGTATATTGTCAGAGTAGGTTTTACTTCTCTTGGATCATGATATTTTCAAGTAAATGTTGTTTCAATCATGCTATTGTAATTGATAGGAGAAATTACAATGTATAACTATTATAAGTATTTGCTTGCCCCTTTACATCCCACCCTCGTCACACACTTCAAAAGCAGAATATAATTTGTCAGGAACCATTACGCCTTTTTTGTGGAAAATGATAAAATTCTGCTCAAGTGCTAAAAAAGCATTATTGCTACAATTGCATTCTTTTATTTTCCAAGTGCATTTCCCAATAGCACTTGGGACAAAATCACCACCATGTAATATTTACCCATCCCAATGTGTTTCATTGCTTATCTTATGTGTTTGCTTGATATCACAACGATTGTGTTATCTAGTGCATTTAATAGTTCTTGGTAGTTTACATTGATTTCTAGTCCTTAGTCATATTGACTGACATGAATTGATATAACGAATTGCAAATCTTTATGATATGGGGCTTAGAACTGATTGCAATGTATATACATGCATGACTTTGTCTAATAGTCTTTGGGGGTGTTTCACATAGAGACCTAAGTTGAAATTATCTGTAAGTTGGACTTGACAATTATGGAAAGCCTTTAGCATCTATGAAAATATTTTGTGAAAGTTATATAAAATGTTGATTAAAATCATTCATATCTTCTAATATCAAGGAGATTTCATGTGCTTGATGTGGAATTTATGAAAAAAAATCTATAATACTTGAATTTTTGCTTTTAAATATATTTACAAATGGCTCTCCATCATGTTCAAATCCAACTTAGAATTAAGTTCGACTTAGGTTCTTTGTGAAATACCCCCCTTGATAATTATTTTGATATATTATCAAATGGGATATATGTCTAGTAATTTATGATGACCCAGTGGTGTCGGATATCCCACTGCTGCCACCATGATGAGTTTGAGGGTCTTAGTAATGGTAGATAACTCACGATAATATAGAGTCGGCAGTCAGGTTTGTTATGGTAAACATGTTATTTACCGGTATTCAACTACCACAGATACCGAATATTCGAAAATATCACATATCGTAACAGACCATGGTAATTTATTATGCATCAAGAGGGTGTTATAATGTATTGACAAATTATGAATTTTATATATAAAAGAGAAGACTGAATAAATATATGAAAATTGCATTTTGTGGCAAAGCTATGGTTTTATTTTCTTGTAATCAGTGTGTAGCATCAGATATTTGCTCTTCATTATGCCGGTGTTGATCATTTGATAGCTTACAATACGCTTAAAGATGAAGTTGAGTTCTGGTCATGCGATTACATTGTGAAAGAAACGGTGTGGAATCGACCAGAAAAGGTTGATCATCTAGCATATAAGAATTTGTGTGTATTGCAAGGTTCTGGAATCATCAAAATGATAAGAAATTTGGCCAAGTCTTGGTAAAGTTACAAACACTGTACACTGAAAGATGTATATGGGACTACACGAACACGTGGCGTAAACTTTTTCTCAGTATTTTAGTGTGCTTTACATGGATTGGTAGCACTCCACTATCAAAGATATCTTCATATCGAGTGTTTGCAAGAATGCAGAATTATTTCCTTTTTCTTTCGTCGGACTCTAGTTTTGCTTTCATGCTGATAGGCATTTCTGGTGGTGGGGGGCGGGGCATGAGGAAGTAGATCTTGAAGGAATCGTAGATAAACCACTGCAGTGCTGTCAGGGTACCTATCATGGCAACTCTCGGTACAAACCCTTTCCAAAGGCCAGACATGCCAAGAGATCTGGCTGCTTGGACCATGGTACTTCCCGCATCCTGGTTCAGCTTAGACACAATGGAATCTGCAGGATGGGACACCAGGACGCAGAAGACTCCAGCTATGTAGCCTCCAACGAAGGTCACCACCAGTTGCTGAGGCTTGCTGCAATCGTCGCGGGGCTTGGACAGGACGTACTTATAAAGGGCTTCCACAGTGCGCTCAAAGCAGGCAAACTTCATCATTGTGTAAGGGATTTGGCGGAACCAGAGCGGTGGCAGACCTTTGTAGAAGCTATGGAAGCCTTCCTGGGCCCACATCTTTGGCAGTGCTTCTCTCAGGGTCCCTGCAAAGCCTGGTTGCGTCTGCATCCTGACCTTGGCAGCTTCCATTGGACTCAGGGCGATGTCTGCAAAGAACTCTGCACTGGCACTTGCAGCTAGGTAGACAGAGGTGCGATACTTGTAAGACCACTCCTCTCCCAGGATGGCACAGTATTTGATCTTGAAGAACTCGTACAGCCCAAACTTGTGCATGCCCTGGAGAGAGTAGCCAATTGCTGTTGGTGCCCAGCCAATCGCGAGACCTCGGATGCCATCATTAGCAATGGTCACCCTGAACCCGTTTAAGGTATTCTTGTACGTTGAAGGATCAACCTGTATCCTGCACTTGACGACATCCAGTGGTACCATCCCAGTGTGGGTGATTCCACAGCTCATTATTCCTGCCAGTCCACACATGGCAAGGTACTTGTTGGATCCAAACTGTATTCCTGACTGAAGAGCATCTGTGGATGCTGCAAGAAGCCGTTTTGGGTACAGGTCTCCATTTTTTCTTGATCTGCAGGTGTACCTCCTTTTCACTTTAGGTTCCTGCAGACTTTTCTCTGCGGTTGTAGGATCAATACTCTTAATATAGTCACCCATGGTGCTCTTAATTTCCTGGATGTAAATGCACAACTAGTTAAGAGGACCAGTTTAAAGAATAAGTGTGTTTCCGTTCGTCAGTATACCTTTAAAAGTTATATTCAGCAGGATGGTACCACGCATGTCGATATCTGGAGACTGGCATACGTACTGCATGCCAGAGCTAAAATTTGTCAAAAAGGCTTGGAACTCTCAACAAAATCCTATTCAAAATGTCAAAGATATAGAACACAGCGTTATTGTTGTCCCAAAGTGATCTTGTAATAGTCTATATAGATAAAACATTTGCTGTGTTGACATGCTGCACTCCTCTTATTGCTCTAGTGTGATAATAATTACTAGCGCAACGCTGATATATAATCATAATGTCAATGTTACTCGTACAGTACAGCGGTATATAGGCATACAATCTCGGCATTTTGTGTAACATGCCCTTTGAAATCTGTCTTATTTGGTTTTGCGACTAGATGTTTGAACTATAAACTAAAATCCCTGAATTATTGTACCGGTACTTAATTAAACTTGAAAATCAGTTGACTATCAACGTACCGCACATCCGAAGTTATCTCGAGCCCCGTATACACGTACGTGATTCTCAAATATATATATTCCAGAGCTGTGGAATATATGAGTTCAACTGTCCGAGTTGTGGGATGCACGAAGTGTATAGATATGAGTTATGATATTGGAAACTCCGAAACCTCAAATGTAAACAATTGCGGTCAACACTTGACCCGATGCTCGATCCGTGCTCGATCCGTTCGTAATCCGGTCCGTAATATATCGGATATACAAGAAGTCCCTCTCGTTACTACGTTTTTCCTCGTACAATGGAAATAATATTACAATAATTCAACTACCTGAGAATGTACAGGTCCAAAATATGTTTGAGCCGATGTGTGCAAATATATGCAATATAATTCATGTTGAACACGAGCTAATATAACGCCATTTCATTCCGCAACTCAAAATCCATATTAGACATGACGTGTATATTGTATGATGTATATTTAATCAATCATGCATGGCATGGTATACTTCCGTGCATTGTTGATCTATCTTTTTCTTTTTTTGATGCGGGAAATATGATTCAGAGTGGCTGCTACATGTTTATTAATTAGGTTCACTTTAGCGGCATGCGGCTTGCTAATAATAGGTATATATATATATATATATATATATATATATATATATATATATATATATATATATATATATATATATATATGTATACAACATTTAGTCATGCATTTACAACAAAAACAGAAGCAAACGAACAAAGAAAACACACAAAAGAATCCAACAAAATATTACTATTTTTAGGTTTTCAACGGAATGTCGCCCTTAAACTAATTGCTGTAAATCCAAGGTGTGAATATATTTCTTTCGATAGGAATACCATATTCATCTTTTTTAGTAGGCCCGTTTTAGTCGCCAGCCTAAAAATTCTTTCGAAGAAGACATATATAGGGACTATAAACTTATAAGACCTAAACATCGTGGCGCTCATTTTGTACTCCTCATCATTATCGTAATTCAGATCTCGAGTTCATATATAATAATGGTATATTTTATTAAATCATTCAAAACAGAATCTTAATACTTACAAATAATTGGAGAGTCTATCATTACGAATCATTCAATGGTAACACAATTAAGACTGATTATGAGAACGTTGAAAAGTAACATATATATATATTTCAAACCTCTGCATATGACAATGAGTTGCAACATTGTTATTGGTATTCGGAACCTCATAGAGACAACAATGTAAGAGCTCAAATCTTAACAATTGGAGGAATTTGTTACGAAATATTTAAGGAGAAGAAACTAATATGTTGGGAATTTATCTTTAATAGTCATAACATTGTTATATTTCTATCATACATATTACATGCAGAGCTGAAATGCATACGGTTCTTTAATAAGCATGAACTTAAAACGTTGAAAAGAAGATAACACCGCTTTCAACAATAATCTTGTGTTGCTCATTGCCTAAAAAATTGTTCCAACTTTGTTTTTATTCGATGGAAAAAAATCATGGGAGGGGGGCGGTGGGATATACATATTAAGACATACGGGCACGTGCCGCTCCGTAATGAGGCGCTTTTTAACGAAAATTACCTACTGTAATATGAGTACCCTTTTAAACAAAAATATCACTAAACGTGGGTCCCTTTTTCCAAAATTTCAAGATTTTTCGGGTGTATTTGCACGACAAATACCCTAAAATTGTTTTAAAAATGGGTCTTTATTTGAAGACTAACACTTTTTAAAACGGGTACCTTTTTCTGCCCAAATTACCCTTGAAATGGGTAGGGATTTCGAGGTTTGAGCGGCACACCCCCGTCCAAACGAAATATAGGGGGGGGGGGGGGCGAATAGGCGAGATAACGAGTAGGAAGTAGAATTGGAGTTATTCCGGCTGCATTCTGGGGTCGAGATTTATTGGCATAATTATATTATTTTTCTCGCTTAATGATCCCCGACCCCGTTCTCTTTCTCCCTCTCTCACCTCTCCTTGTCAGTTCTTGTTCAGGTAAGTGGATCCTGCCACCCTTCCAATAAAGATTTAATTATCGATGTGTTGAATATACAAGTCTGGTATACGTGGCATCCGGCGATTCGACATTATTTGAAGAAAGCATATCCTTTGGGTCTTTTTTCTAAAAAGGTAGGCCTAACCACAGGGTTAACCGTATGTTAAACAACGGAGTTTCTTTAATTCACAGTTTAAACACGAGACGCCCCCACCCTCTCCCCACCTTCCGATCCCCAAATAATCTTTACAGGGATGCTTATATTCTTTACTAATGCCCCGGCTTTGACGTTTTATCCTCACCTACATCCTTCTTTTTGTTTTCACTGTAAATTTTTGCTGTATGATATCTTGTACAATGTCTATGTCTTGGCCTTTTTCGTCCTCCTAGACCCCATCCCAGACATCAACGTTGATCATTTGCCCCCCCCCCCCCAGTCGAGTTGAGAGTGGATGCTTTTTCAATTTTCTCCCAGACCTTGGCTATAGCTATATCGAGTACGTACCTCTTGTACGGACGCCCTCTACGTTGCATGTAGCATTAACCTATCTTGCAAGTCATAGAATTCATGACGACAGGGTCTCCATTTAGACTGTTAAATAAACCTTTCCTGATCAGTTCATTCTTCATTATTTGATTCAGTATGTCGGGGACTATTGTAAGTATTGTTAAAGTTTGTACAATTATGGCAAAATTCTATAACATAATTTTAGTAGTTTTATCAATGTTAGAATCGGTCGTTCTATCTTGGTGAATGCGATTTGGCCATTGAGTGCAATACATTGCCAGTGCAGTGGTGCATACACGCATACCACAGGCCAGGACAGGTCAGCCTAGTCAATCCATTGTCACCCAATCGAAATCATTGGCAAATGCACTGCCACTTGCTTTGATTTTGCCCTTTGCCTGTGCCTTTAAATTTTCATGGATTTCGATTGGCATTGTTTATTTGCAGGCACATTTCTTTGCTAGTCACTGTCTTTTTAAAGGTCTTTACCACTATTATGATTACAAATCGAAATAGTGAAATACAATCTTCAAAAGTTCAAGAATTGTATCGGCCAGAGGCCAGAAGCAGAGAGACCCACAACCAAATGGAGATGTTGAGTCTTGAGACTCTCTCCCATGTGAGAGAAGTATATTATATTGGAGCCTCTGCATACAAAAATACAAAATAAACAACACCAACAACAAGGTAGTTTTACCCAGCCAAAATGTTGCCACCTCATGAGTGGATGAGCATGATAATAACAAAAATGTTATGAAAACAAAAAATAGACATTGAATATTAAAGTAGACAGACCAGAGAAGGGTATCTTTCATTGAGGCATACATCATTAGACCAAAACGCTTAAAAGGAGAAATTCTTTTCATCACCAGGCCAGGCACGGCACATATCCATTTAGGGTATCAAAAACGGGAAAAGTCTGGAAAAGGGGATATTAAATTCACTGGTGATAAGAAGCTATGACTCCGGGTATGTGCTGGCTTCCTTGTTGCTGAGAGAGGAAATTTGCATTTGTTTATTGTTGCTGGCAGTAGCAGAGCAGTAGAACTAGAAGGCAGCAATTATAAGTTTCACCATGATCATATTGGTTTGACAGTACTTACAAGGTTACATTATAACCTCATAATTTGGATGAGTGGTCAAACCCACAGTTGACACTCTGGATCATTCAACCAATGCCCGCAATTTGTTGTCTAACTTGTACTCTGGTTATTTTTAATGGCTTATATCTTCTTTTACATCTCTATTTACATCCAGATCATACGGATCCAGTCCCCTGACGGAAACAAACGAGTCACTGTTCCCCCGACAACATCCCTCTACAAGTTCTTCCAAAAGGTAACATATTATCCTTGCTTCTTATTTTTTGGTTGGGGGGGGGGGGGGGGGGGGGACTCACTTCAAGAGATGGTTTGACTCACTTCAAGAGATGGTTTGCTTTTATTATATATTCAATTGAAATTATATCATAAGAGCAATAAATATTTACAGATTATTTATGTTACCCCTGTTAAAATGTCACAATTTCTTTGAATTTTAATGATGTTCTTGTTCAAATATTGTTTGTTGTTTGTTGTGTGTGTAGGTTTCACAGACAGTGTCGCTCCCTGCCGATGGCTTTCAACTCTACAAATCTCGGGACAAGACAGAGCAACTTAAAGCCTCTAGCAAAGTCACACTTAAATCACAAAATATCAAGTAAGCTTACTTCCTATAATCCATTTTCATAATTTGTTAAACCTAAATTTCAGGTTTCATTGAAATCACTTGGTACAATGAAATACAGTATGTTTTAAAATCAGTCAAGTGAGAGACTAAAAGTTGTCTTTATATGCAGTACTCTTTTTATATGTGTTACTTTATTTTTGAGTAATAACAAAATGTTCAAGGAAAACAGAATGAGTTGAGTGTAGAATTGACAGGTTGTCTTTTTAATAGATTTGACTTGTCAAGTAAGCAAGTAAGCATGTTTTGACATCACAGTTGCTCTAGAAAAATGTTACTAATTTCTATTGTTCTCTAATGCCCTTTCTCCCTTGGGGTCCTCTAAAGAGAATAGACCCTCTAGAGTCATACATTTAATTTTGTTGTTGAATTTTAGTAAAATGTGAAGGTTGTTGCCACTACATCAAAGAGACATTGACAAATTCAGCCAGTTTGAAAAGCCCATACCTATAGTAATCACAACACTAAAAAAGTTATAAATTTCTCAGTTTGGGTCTGAATTCATTCAAACTTTCATATCCGTTAACTTCTCTGATGTTTGTGCTTTCCTCTCGAGTAGTTTGCTTTCAAAGTTGGATTTCCCTTTAAAGGCTATACCTCTTTGAGAAATCTGCACATTGGAACAATAAAATGTTCACTGTTGCTATTGTGGCTTTTTATTGGAGAAAATTTATAATTGAAATTTGACATTTTGTTCCTTTGCTTTCTGCAGACATGGTGATATGATACACCTGTACCCAACTAAAGTAGAGGTGGATGG